ACTGACTGTAATGATGGAAGGACACTCAGACCTGTTTTAGTCTCACAGTCCTTCACATGGGAGTACAGATCCAACAGGAAGTCACTCTGATATTTGTCATTGGAATTAGAATGAAGAGGAAATGTCTGATAAGAGCAAACTGATGAGAGCATGTTGAGGATCTTCTCTCCTGTCCTCTGGTCTCTCTCTGCTGCTCCAATGAAGAGATTCATCAACAACTCAGTTTGATCTGAGAGATTTCCTGATGACTGACAGAAACTGGAAGAATGAGAAGGAAACACGATGTGATGATTTGATCTGAGCACCATGAACAGAAACAAGCAGCACTCACTGATACCGTCCTAGAAATGTCTCAGATAAATATCTCCAGCATTTAAAATACATTAAAGACATAAGGTCAGTATTAGAGTTGGTTCAATTATTTCTATAAAGTAACTCAACTGGATTTTAAACCACAACTGAAGAGCACATGAACACATTGAGTGTTTAATAAGTAAAACCAAAGAGCATACCTGAGTGAGTGGATGTGGGGTAAATGGTGTAAGAGGAAGGAGCTCGCACTTTGACAGACTCTGTGATCACAGTGAAGGCAGACTTTCACCTTCCTCTTCCTCTTCTGCAGGACTCTCACAGCTCTGTCATACAGTTGTGTTTTACTGTTGACTGGGAGGTGCAGCTGATTCTCAGTGAAGTCAAGTAAACTCACGTAATCCACGTCCCCATCAGTCAGAAGAGAAATGCTCCACAGCTGGCATGACAAGGGGTCACTCCTACAGTTGGAAGGTTGGTAGAGAACTTCATTAGTTCACATGTAATCAGCTGCTGAGAACAAAGTAGTGTAGATTCATGCTGAAACTGAAGAACCATGTTCGCTGTTTTCATGCAAAACTTCTCATTTGTGAAAAGCTGCAAGAGGCTTAAGAGGATTGACTCTGCATACGATATAAACCAGAGACTGGTGAGCTGATGTGAGTTTGCAGCCTTCAAGGTTTAGAAAGTAAATCTTAAACAAGTGTAAAATGTACATTCAAAATACGAACAGATATAGTCAGCAAAGTCACCGCTGTTTGAACAGGATGCAAGAATCATTCTGTCTAAATCATAAAAGTCTACATTTCTGACTAATTTACCTCTTGTAGCAGTTTTTATCTCTGGTTATAAGGACAAGTTTAACCTCCTAGGATGTGGCGTCCACATATGGGGACATCACATTTTGGTTGCCTAG